AAGGGGCACCGAGAGAGCAGCAGGCGCTGCTGGAACTGGAGGACACGGCGGCGCGGTTGAAGAGAGAGAAGGACCCGTGGACCCGTACAAATTTTTCTTTTTTTTCAAACAACCAAAAAAAAAAATAAAGGACCCGTGGACCCGGCTCGAACCGGCCCGTTTCAACCGGGCCGGGTAATGTCCGGTTCTTATATTAGAAAATGTAATCCCCGGCCCGGCCCGCCCCGTTTTCTTTGAACCTAGGTCCGGTCCGGTCCCTTCAAAATTGGGCCCGGCCCGGCCCGTGCCCAGCCCTAACTTTAACTGTTGGATCAAATTTCAAGGATCCGGATTAGGTGATTTGATGGATTTAGTTGAAGGAATCCGGAGATGATCTCTTTCCTTATAATAGAGATAAGTAGAGTAGAGGCTGCTGGTAAATTGTATAATTATTATTAATTGGTGACCTTTTGACTTTTTTATTTTGGTTGGATACCTAATAATGTCCCCGTTAATATCCCTTGAAATTTCTTTTCCTTTATTCACAATTTTAGCAAATTCATGGTCGGTCGGAGTTGTATTTGTGTGGATCCTAGATATCCCCACATCTTAGTCATTCATCGTGTATCGTGCAGTCATAAATTATTTGACTTTTTTTTATTTAAAATTAAAAACAAATAGTATCTAACAAAAACTGGTCACACAATGTACAATGAACGGTTAGGATGTGGAAATCGTTCCGGAGAGGATCCTCTTCCATATTTTCTTTTTTGTCCAATGAATGTGATTAGTCTAAAAATTAATAATGTTCTTTTGAGAGTATCAATCTCACATCAAATAAAGAAGGGACCTTACACGAGCTTATAAGTGATTGGGATACTTCCCATATTGCTTTTATGGTGGAATCTCAATTTTCTTCATGATATCAGAGAAAGTTGTCTCATGTGTGAAGCCCAATGGATATATACGTGTTCCACGTCATTTGATTTGTGTTGTCCGCGTATCCACGTGCTAGGCTTGAAAATTTTGCCACATGTGCGGGAGTGTTGAGAGTATGAATCTCACATCGGAGAAAGAAATGGACCTTGTAGTGCTTATAAGTAATTCGGTTACTCATTAAATTGCCAATTGAATTTATGGTGGAACCTCAACTTTTTTTTTTTTCTTTTTTTTTTTTTCAGGAAAAAAAAATCAGTAACGTTATATATCATGCAATATGCATGCGTGAAAGAAATGTAAACATATTACCAAAACCGCTTCATCTTTGCTTTCGGTTCAAGTAGTCAAAGAAAGATATCTGAATTTGGGCAGGCAGGCTCACCGTCTACGATTAAGTCGTGCGCCCTGCGCATGAAATTTGAAACTTGACCAAGTGCATTCACATATCTTATAGTTCACGACAACAATTAAACTTCTAACGACTTTCGGTTCAGGCAAAATTTTAACGATAATCCTTATTATCGCATTGTGAAAGCAGATGACAGATAACGTCATATTACTTTACCAACCGGTTAATGCTTTAACCGTATAATATGGTTATCATATGAAGTACATATATACATGCGTTTTAAATCTTGGAGTTGTAAATCAAGCGGTAGCAGATAGGAGCCTAAAAATGAAGGGGTTTCCAGAATATTATTATTATTATTATTATGCATTATGTGTTCGTGGGTTGAGCGTGGGAGCTTGTGGGGAATTTTATTAAAAGCCAAAGAAATGGAAGCAGAAAGTTAAAGGAGGAGAGGGTGAAAGAGCAGATCGGCATAGCAGGCAGGCAGGCAACAAAAGCAAAAGAAGAAGGGGCCATGCTTATACTGTCCCACATTTTCAAACACTCTCAAACCACCATCATTACCATCACAAACCCTAAATTCCTGTCGATTCCCTCTCTCTCTCTCTCTCTCTCTCTCTCTCTCTCATTTGCTTTCTTAAGTGCTGTTAATCATAGGATTCTCAGCCTTGTAAGCAAAAAGCCTAAAACTCGTACGAGAATTAACCTTTGGTTGCCAAAAGAAAGAACCAAAAGAATATCACAGATGTCTCGAATGTTGCTAATTATTCTTTCGATCTTTCAAATTAGAGATCGATGCTTAACCGTGATCTGAAACACTACAATTGACAAACATGCATGCACGTACGGTAATAACAAGGGAAATTAAATAGATCTGGAAAATAAAGTTTGAAAATTGAACAGGAAATCGCATAAGCAGGTCACAGTTTTTTTTATTATGTTTTGCTAGCTAAAAGAAGTGTGAACATAATTAGACATGCATGATAATTCATCATTTACCACCCGTGTTGTAAATAAAACCACATGCATGCATATATAGTCAAATTCTACCCCATGGTACCGTAGGAAAATATTATATATAGTTAGTTTTGGGGGCGATATGATGGCATGTATACATCTTTGTCAACAGTCCACATTTGATGATAATTTTCCTTCACTAAATGCAAAGTTGATCGCTTTCGAGTCTAGATCTAGCAGCTGAGAGGGTCCATCATCGCCAATTACAAATTACAAATGTTAATCAATCCACGCAACAAAAACGAAAAAACAAAGCAATGAGAGATTTTTCGATGTGAATAAAATACTACCAGTATACCAAGTGTAATAATATAATTAGTTGGAAACTAAAAGAAAAAAACCAATCAATTATATGACACTTGGTGTGTCGGACCATATTTCCGGCACATTGGAAAATTGTTTGGCTATGCGAATTCTGGCACCAGTCCTTTGGAGTCTACAATAATTAAAATTAGGGTTCAAGAATTATCATTTGGAATGCCCAATCGGCAGTATATTGCGCATAGGGTCCCTTGTATAAATGATTAATTTAAAAAATTAAGCAAAATACTTTGTGAAAATTATATGATTAGTGATATCTTTATAGCCACGCAAGTTATGTACATGATGCCCGCAGGACCCTCATATAATCTATATTTCAAAATATATACATGGATGCGGAAGCTACCTAATTTTTCTAAGTCGTCAATTTTGAAATGTTCGATTTCAGAATTAGTTAGGAGTTCTGGTGCATATATAATATATATTTTGGTATTCTTTTTTTCTAAACAAAGTTCTAATTAAGGTGGATGCAGTCATGAAATTTGAATTCATCATCTTTATTTAGTTTTGTGGGATAATTAGATTAATATTGTCCCTTTGTTCAAAAAATAAAAGACAGTAATAAAGGAAAAGCGACACTCGTGATCAACTTTTGAAACAAAGTTTGACAATTGTAACAGTATTAAGTTTCTACCAAGAAACTAAAATTAGCTGTTGTTTAATTTTATTTAGTTTTTATTTATAAACAAATATGTAATACATATATCACACTGTAGAATTTATATATTTGACAAATTTAGAATTTATAATCATATAATCGTATCGATTATTTGATGCCCTTCTCCCTCCTCTTGTATTCAGGCTTGCGACGGGGCTTGGAACCCATAGATCAATATTGATTGGAAGAACCTAGGTAGGCTTCCAACATGTCACATACGCTTAAAGGATTATTTGAAGTTTACAGCTGCATGCATTCTATTTGTTTCTCTCATATCTGTTGGAACGTATAAAGACTACTCAGAAAGAAAGAAACCCTAATCTAGCTAGAAAGTCGGGTCTCATATATAGCTAGAAGTTCATCCATATATATAAAAGAAATGGACGTTTCATTATGAGAATGTTATTTGTTATCAAAATCATTTATTGGTTTAACACGTATAAATGACTAAACATATCTAAATTGGACGATTTTTTTTTGCAGATATGATCGTTAGAGGATGATAAAGAGAATGAGATATGATCTTTAAATATTGATAAAGAGAATGAACAGTTGAGATTATGATGTTCAAGCAATAAAAGTTCGTTAATCATAAGTGAGGGAGACAAGTAAGTTCCTCCATGGAGGACACAAGCATTATCTGTTAATAAATTACATGGAAGGGATTCTACACACTCACATTTTTTTCACTCTAAGCTCTTTTTTTTTTTTTTTTTTTTTGGCTTTTACCACTCGAATCAAATAAATCAAAGACAAGGTTGACAAAGAAATAACTGGAAAAGAATGCAGAAAGAAAAAACGAGATCGTAGAAAATTAGAAATCACTACCCTATATTCCAGGTACATAAAAGATGAAGAAGAGTTTTATAAGAAAAAGCTTTCATGGGAGATGAGAGCTAGATTATGGAAGTGGAGCATCTGGATGGATCATATAAACTGTGACCCACACTTTACTGTGAGAGTGGTCCACCTACTCAATGGTGTGGTTGATGGGCCACCCCAATTCTGTTGCTCAAATTTAAAAAAATTGGTGTGGGAGCTGCCAAGGCCGCCTAAGATTCCTACTTGTATTCATACATATAGTTATATCCCCTGTTCCCCACCATAGTCTAGTTTCACTACAAAACCCCCAATTAATTATCATATAAAAATGAAATTATAAAAGAATTTGTGTGCAAGCAGGGGCAGATTCACCTTGGGTTAAGTGGGTCAGCTGATCCAAATTCAGAAATCTTTCATAGAAAAGCTGCAGTGCCTTTTGAAAATATGAGATGCTCTTACAACTATCATTTAATTGCTCGATAATTGCCTTCATGGACATTGGGTTGGATAGTTGCCAGCCTCATATCTTTGTATGCATTGCTATGGGCATCTGTTTATAGGCTCACCAGGCATACGCTAACATTTGTCGGCATGTTTGCGCACAGAATCTGTTGGCATATGTCGATAGGTACCAAGACTCGATGAAATACTAATTTGCATGTTATTCCGTCTAACAAATTTTACACGCTGCGCACGCTTTTCTTACTAACCTCTAAAATAATATTTTCTAAATCTACCACTTCGTGCAAACAAGACATAGTATTATGATTAATTCAATTTATTTCACATCTGCAAATAAAATGACGAATAAAGAATACTTGGCATATTTTAATATAAAGTAGAAACTATGTAGTATGTTCCACTTCCACAGCAACGGTTACTCAATTCTTTTTTTTTTTTTTTTAAAAAAAAACCATCACAGATGGTACTTGAAAAGATTCTTTAATTTTCCTCGACTCAATCACATATTTCTTTCTTTTCTCAGCTCAGTGTCTTGTTTTGTTGTCCAAATTCCACTCCAAACCGCCTTCTTTACTTCTATTTTTCTCTGAATCTTTCCCTCTCCCCATCCATTTTTCTTTCATCTTCTAATCTGCAACTCTCTCTCTGTATATACCAGAAACAGAGCACCATCAATGGCTGCCAAAAAGTTTGCAACCATGCTGCACAGAAACACCAACAAGATCACTCTCGTTCTAGCCTATGCTCTCCTCGAATGGACTCTGATCATCCTCCTCCTTCTCAATTCCCTCTTTTCTTACCTAATCATAAAGTTCTCCGATTACTTTGGCCTCAGAAGACCCTGCCTCTGGTGTTCTAGGCTCGAACATATCTTCGAGCCCAGAAACACCAAAAGTTCTTATAGAGATCTCGTCTGCGAATCTCATGCCAATGAGATATCCCATCTGGGTTATTGTTCAAATCACCAGAAACTTGTAGAATTGCAAGATATGTGCGAGGACTGCTCATCGAAGCCGGATTGCGAAGAATGGTCAAAGAAGTTTGCTTTTTTTCCATGGATGAAGCAAATTGGGATGATTCGGGATAGCGATGAAAAAGTCACTGAGAATGGAGAGGAGAAGTTGAACTGTTCTTGCTGCGGTTTGAGTTTGAACAAGTTTTACCCTTCTTGTATTGTGATTAAACCTTCTTGGGAGGTTTTGGATTATACTCAGAAACAAAATTTGAGTTTGGAAACAGGGGATGATCGTCAGACGGAAGAAGGTGATCGGTCGGATCGAAGCGGATCGGATTTTGTGATCGGAGACGAAGAGGGAGTCGAAGAAAAGAAGGGAGAAAATAGGGGTTTTGAAGCAGAGGATCATTCTGCTGCTTGTTCTGTATGTGACTATGGCTGCAAGGAGACGGAGATTGTAGCCATTGGAGATGAAAAAGTGGTGAGAGACATAGAAGAAGAACAAGAACCCACAAAAGATATTGTATCTCCAAAAATTCGACCTCAGGATTTGGAGTTCTACATTGATCAAGACGATTGCCGGTTGGTTCTGGTTGATTTGATTGATTCTCCAGCCACCATTGAAAACCAGAGTCATCAGAAGTATAAGAAGGTGGAAGAAGACCAAGGAAATAGTAGCGGTTGTGAAGATGTTATACTGGATTTCGACATTGCGAAGCCGGTTGTGGAGAATTGGCGCAGTTCAGAAGAGTCTGTGGCATTGCTTTCGTTCGATGAGAGTAAGGAAGAGGGGAGTAAGGTTTCGGTTCTTGATTTGAAGGATTTGGATGAGACTGGGAGCGCGAAGGAGGAAAATGAACAGGTTGGAGCTGTAGCAAATGGTGAAATTGTTTCAGATGTTTATCTAGGTAAACATGTTTAATTTCATTCACTTATAATTTATAGACAATGTTTTGTTTTTTTGGATGACAAAATCTCAATTGTGGCATTCAATGCATGCAGCAATTGAGGATGAAGTCCTTCCTGGCAACGATGAGATTGAGGCGGAGGTCGCAATAGGGACAGAGATTCCTGATCAGGAACTGAATCACGAAGTTCAATCGGCTCAAGAACTTTTGAATTCGCATCCGTGTGAGCAGGAAGACCCTTCTACAAGTTCTGCCATTCAAAATGTTTGTGATCGTCATGGTAAGCCTCGAATCCTGGCCTAAGCACGTTCACAATCTCAAAATCTTACTTATGTCTGAAAATTATTTTAATTTGTTACATTGTTAGGTTCTGAGCAACCAGAGGAAGAATTACTTGAATTCAAAACCTTGCTGGCTGAAACGAGTGAGAAAGAAAACGAAAATCATTTCTCATATGAGGAAGATGATGTTCTTGACACACCTACTTCAATAGACAGTCTCCACCAGTTGCATAAAGGAATGCTACTATTTGAGAGACGAGAACTGGTAACAGAAGACTCATTGGATGGAAGTGTTATGAGTGACATTGAAGGCGGTGATGAAGTCGTGACAGTTGAGAAATTAAAGACGGCGTTGAAAACTGAACGGAAGGCTTTGAACGAATTATATGTGGAACTTGAAGAAGAGAGGAGTGCTTCTGCAGTGGCAGCCAGTCAGACAATGGCAATGATAAATAGGCTACAAGAAGAAAAGGCAGCAATGCAGATGGAAGCTTTGCAGTACCAGAGAATGATGGAAGAGCAGTCTGAATATGACCAGGAAGCGATGCAGCTCTTGAACGAGCTTATGGTGAAGCGGGAAAGGGAAAAGCAAGAGCTTGAAAAGGAGCTGGAAGTATGTCGAAAGAAGCTGCAGGATTACGAGGCCAAAGAGAGAGCGATGATTTTGAGGAGACTGAAAGATGGAAGCGTGAAAAGTAGAACTTCATCCGGTGCTTGTAGCAATGCTGAGGATAGCGATGGACTATCTACTGATTTGAATAACGAATTGAAGGAAGAAGATTGCTTATATGGGAACGAAGAAAGTAGCAATCAAAACACCCCGGCAGATGCAGTTCTATATCTGGAGAAATCTTTGGCTGTCTTTGAGGAAGAGAAGTTGTCCATTCTAGACCAGCTCAAGGAGTTGGAAGAGAAGCTTTTGACCTTGAGCGAAGAAGAGGAAGAAGAATGTTGTGAGGATATAAACCCAATCGAGCATTTCTTTTCGGAGAATGGAAATGGTTACCATGAAAGTTCAGATGTCAGAAGTGAAGTAAATGGCAATGGCATTGCAAATGGCCATTCCAAGGAAATGAATGGAAATCATGATCAAGATAGAAAAATCAAGGGCTTGAAGGCAAAGAGACTTCTTCCACTATTTGATGCCATCGAAACGGAATCAAGAGACTGGGAATTGAATGGAAACACAGAAGGGTACGATTCTTTTACATCACAAGAATCGGAGAGCAAGAAACTTGCTATCGAGGAGGAGGTTGATCATGTGTATGAGAGACTACAAGCACTTGAAGCAGATAGGGAGTTTCTGAAGCACTGCATTTCCTCCTTGAGGAAAGGAGATAAGGGATTACTTCTTCTCCAAGAAATTTTGGAACATCTTCGCGATCTGCGAAGTGTAGAACTCCGTCTGAGGACCACGGCTGACAGCATTCTATAAAGAGTTCATAGGTAAAATGACAAGCCTTTTAGCTCCAAAGTGTGAAAGTTCTTACTACATTACAATTGCATTCGTTTTTAATTCATAATTTGTCCGCTTTTGCAAGTGCAGATTTTGCTGCATTCGGGTTAAAACAGCTGCGAATATAAGCGGAACACAAATACAATTCTGCAGTTTGAACAATTTCAAGTGGGGGAATTTCCCTGGATGGAGAGGGAGGCTCTTCCTGGCCATCATGGTGGACTACAAGTTCAAGTCTGCCAATTTGTTTTTCAGTTTTTTGGTGAAAGTAAGTCCAATTTTTTTGTGGGCAGCGCTTATATCAAAACACCTTTTGAAGGAAAAGGGGGATGAGAAGCGTATGCGTGTAGGAGAAAACTTCGTTATGAATGCATTACTAGAGCGGTTCTCACATGGAATGAACCCAAAATACACGGGGTCTTGTTCTTATGTGAGAGGTGCTCTACAGATGACGTGACCAAAGTGTCCCTACCAAGTTTTTCTGGTGTGTGTAGTGTAGGATAGTGAGGTGGAGAAGCCACCCTGTCAAACTGTACGTTGTGAGGAGAAAAGGCCTGGCTTGCAATGCTGGCGATCGAGATCCAACAAAGATATTCCAGTGCCAGGTACATAGCATCATTAGTTTATTAGACAGACAGAATTAGGACACTCTTTTGCTAAGTTTTGTTTGGAGGAAAGGAAAAGAAAGTGTGGAGGGGATTTTCTAGTCCCCTTTATATTTTCTTTCTGTCTTTAATTTGCATCATTTGATCATATGGGATTTGTTTATTAATTGTTATTTGAGGGGTCAAAGTTGAGTTACTACTTGTATACCATATGTATCCATCTGTAAGTATATAAAAGTGAGTGTTTGTTTATACTTTGTTGGAGCTACCTTGTATTGTGTTTTTTGTTTTATAGTAGATGATTGTCTAGACTGCAAGAGTAAGACTGCATATGACAGACGTTTCCACTAGACTCTTGTAGAGCGAAAAGGCTTATTGAGTTGAGGTTGCCTACAGTTGATAATTGTTTATGATGAATGTATGTAAATGATTATAAAATATAGGAGAGTGGCAGATTCATAACGTAACTATACTAGGTAGACCAGATGTACTCTTTCATGTATGTTTAATTCGTTCTATCTCGCAGTTTAAATTAGTTTACGATAAAACATCGTTTGTAATGTAAAAATACGAAGAAACATCGCTTTCAATATTACAAGGACGTTTCTTTTGAGTATAAAACAACTGGTTGGTTGGTACATAGAAACCAATAAAACAAGATAATTGCTAAGGACAAAAGTCGGTGGTCTAATAACAGCTAATATTATTTTTGGACCGAGGGCCGAGGAATACCTAATGGGTGTTGAGAAAAAAAAAAATTCAATGTCTCGAGAACACAATTCTATACTCTAAGTATAATAATATAATTTGTTGAAAATTTTTTTAGTGCACCAAATCGTATTTTTGGCACACTAAAAAATCTCTTAGTATTGACACTGTTGAAGCAGGGGCAGAGGCAACATAACCATAATTATCAGTTTTGAGGTTGTTTAATTTAATCTTATGTGATTTAGTTTCCAATTAAGCAACAAGCAAGAGATGTCTCAGCAATTCCCCTGCAGGCTCTGCATTCAGTCAGTGAGGAACAATATTCTGCTTAATTTGCTGCTTAGAGAGCATATAGATCCAACTGAAGATGCTCGCTTTGTCAAAAAACAAATTTCCATTGGCGAGAATGTGTAACAATATTTCAAATCAATCATTATTATATTAAAAAATTAAAACGTATGACAATGCGAAATTTGCTTGGAACGCCTTTATAGTGACATTCCTTATAAAATTTGGAACTATGCATTGCCTTTCTTTTTCTTTTTCTTTTTTTGAAGAACTGCATTGCCTTTCTTTTTGTAATAAAATTTTGCTCACTTTTTCTGGTGTGGAAGATGCTTGTTTGAGTTTTTGCTCTAATCATAGAGAATAGATCATTTTCGGATCTTTTCTACTAAGATCACCAGATCAAGTAATTCGGACATTTCAAATTTCATCAAACAGCAAAAAATTATTACAACTTTTAAGGAGTCAAAACAGGTGGACCGTTGGATGAAATTTGAAAGGTCCGAATTACTTGATCCGATAACCTTGATGGAAAAGATCTAAAATCTCTTCTCCTAATCATATAGGCACGTGGTTTTGCGTCTCTACTTTCGGCGGTGCTTGAAATATGTTTAAAAGGATATTCAAATCAAAGCTTATTAGGTTAGGTCATGTTCTAATCATGATTCACATATACATACATGCATATATACATACATACATATATACACACACACACAGCCTTTAAGTTTATCTCTAACCGAAAAGTCTAGAGGATTAAAGGGCCGAAAATAGCCCGAAAATCGTCTCCAACAATTTTTAGGTCAAAGGGCTCATGGGCCCCACGGAAAAAAGGGCCAATTGGCTAGCCCAATCCAGCTAGCCCTGGGCCGAGCTGTAAATTTCATTATTCATGTCGATTATATCTGATAGGAATGGTAGGTTGTTATGACACACCCCGACCGAGATCAGGGCATGCTGGCCGTCACACGAAGGTGACGTAACCATGTGCGCGTGCGGAAGCTATTAAGATAGTAAAATAAAAGTACGAATAATCAAAAACCTAAAAGCATACAAAGTACTAGTGTATGTGAGACACAATTCAGAGCAAGTCTACAACAGTCCAAAAGGAAAAGATACGACATATTTACACCCGAAGGTGACCCTACAATGGTGAGTGTCTGTCAGAAATGCCGGGACGCCCTCTGGGATAAACCACTGAATCTGCTAGACCACTAGAACCTGGAGGGGCGCAAAAACAAAAGCGTGAGTGGGCAAAAACAAAGTTCTTTGAAAACTCTTTAGCAAAATACATTCTAACCCCTCGCCGTAAAACCTGTATACTTCCCAGAAAATGAACATATAAACGTATGTATAGGTATGTCAATCATGCTCCACATATGCCATTCATGCTTGAGAATATGCCACAATAGAATCTCATAATCAACTATAAATACTCAAGCGTAATTCACATCAATAACATATAATCTGGCAGTCGGGAGTCACCTAACGTGACATGTACCGCTGCATCTAGAGCTCCAATCTCAACTCAACATCTGAATCTGCACACGAGTCGGAACCACCTAATGTAGTCTGTCCGACAGGACTGGGTGTAATATATACGCTCTAGTGCTACGATCACGTGAAGACTGTGCGAATAATCGCGGGTCACCTACGAGCCGGAACCACCTAATGTAGTCTGTCCGACAAGGCTTGCACCTAACTTGGATCCAAGGCGAGCGTGTGGTGCTGGTGAACATCACGTGAAGGACTGTGCCCTGGCCCTGGGCGGGAGCACTAACACCGGGGGTGCAGATTATGAGCTCTTTCAACATCTCAAACTATTATTGCATAACAACAAGAATACCACTTACCTGGCACTTACCTGTGCGTCCACAGCACCAAATACACAAATATGAATGTATGCCACTACCAATGTATATGATAATGCGTAAGTGATAATAATATAGTGCATGGCATAACTCAAATAACCTTTTCTATTTAATTTCTGGGAATATAAATGTATATAGGTATATACGGAAAACAAAAGCCCACTCACTGATAATTAGAAGGGTCGTAGCCCCCCTGCCTCGAATGTGTACGCTCGTCCTCGGAAAACGAATCACCTATACGCAACAAAGTTACGAAAACATTAATTTAAAAGCACCTAAGCAACTTCTCATAATAACTTCTCATACATTGCTCAAATTGGACAATTGAATATACCAACGTGATCTACACAACCTCAGGATCACATCCATATTTTTAAAATAATTTTTGGACCACGCACGCGCCCCCACGCGCCTGAACAGTCACGGACCCACGCGCCCCCACGCGCAGCCACGTGCACTGCACACTGACGGTGTCAACAGACGCCGTCAGGAATATTCCGTTAACCTGACGGAATATTCCGTTAACCTTAACTGACGCCGTCATTGCCGTTAGGAATATTCCGTTAAACTTAACGGAATATTCTCCTTTCTTCTCCGGCCAGTCGCCGTCGCCGTCGCCGGCGCCGTCGCCGGAAAACCTGTAACTCGCATTTTCTCGCTCGTTTTTGCACCTTTTTCCACGTTTCTTGCACCAAAATGCACCTTAAAGCTAGTAGAACATGACCCAACAAGTTTTAAGGCCTAAACTGACAAGATTATACCTGCCCAAATTTCCAAAACTCGGCCAACTACGAACTTAGCCTTCCCGACGTCCAACTTCACTCAACGAACTACTCCCAAGCTCCTGGGAACTTCACCAACACTTCTACAAGCTCAGAAATTCCAAAAACTAAGTAAATCAAATTTGCATGAATAGTAACTAAAACTGAGCTCGTGAAATGGACGTGAAAACGTCGGACTTCCTACCTGAAAATGGTATGGTTGTGCTCCTCACCACCTCACGAGTTCAATGGTGGTCTTGGATCCCTCGAGGAGTGATGGTTTGGGTATGTTTGTGTGTAGTCCGTGTGTTTGCAGAAGGAAGAAGAAGAAGATGAACTCGGGGAGGAAGAGAGAGAGAGAGAGAGACAGAGAAAGACAGAGTGAGGGAATGAGGGAGGGAATCCCGGGAGAAAAGAAAATGTATGAGTGTGTGTGGTCCCACCACACCACACAACACACATTAATGGGATAAAACGAATTAGGGGTATAATCGTAAATTCACACGTACGTTAAAATGAAATTTGGGACGGGATGTTACAACCTACCCACCTTAATAGAATTTCGTCCCGAAATTCAAAACAACCTTATATAACCCCTAGTGATCGAAAAACAATCTAGGATACAAATCCCTCATTCTACTTTCTGTCTCCCAAGTAGCTTCTTCAACCGAGTGATTCCTCCACAAGACTTTCACCAAATTCACCGTCTTGTTCCTCAGAACCTTTTCTTTCCAATCCAAGATCGTTAACGGTTCCTCGTCATACGTTAAATCTGGATTTATCTCTAACGGTTGAGGAGGTATCACATGCAACGGATCGGCAACATAGTGTCGGAGCATAGACACGTGAAAAACGTTATGCACTTTAGCCAACTCCGGAGGCATCTCCAACCTGTAAGCTACCTCACCAACTCTTTCTGTGACTATGTACGGTCCGATGTACCTGGGACTCAACTTCCCCTTCTTTCCAAACCGCACAACACCTCTCCACGGTGAAAGCTTCAAAAATACCCAATCTCCGACCTCATACGTTCTGTCCGTAGCATGTCGATCTGCTAAACTTTTCTGCTTGTCCTGAGCTGCTTTCAGGTTAGACCTAATTACCTGAACATTTTGAGTAGTCTCCTCGACAATTTCCGGACCTACCAAGACTCTTTCGCCAACCTCTGACCAACACAACGGAGTGCGACAAGATCTACCATACAAGGCTTCAAATGGCGCCATGCCAATGCTCGAATGGAAACTGTTGTTGTAAGCAAATTCCATCAAATCTAACCGCTGGTGCCAAGCGTCACTGAACTGTAACACCGATGCTCGCAGCATATCTTCCAAGGTCTGAATAGTTCTCTCGGATTGTCCGTCTGTCTGTGGATGATATGCCGTACTGTAAAGTAGTCTCGTACCCAAAGCTTCCTGAAAAGCTACCCAAAACTTCGATGTGAATCGTGGATCACGATCCGAGACAATACTTACAGGGACACCATGGTACTTTACAACCTTTGAGATAAACAACTCTGCTAACCGGTTCAAAGAATACTTCTCTCTCACGGGAATGAAATGTGCCGACTTAGTGAGCCGATCAACGATCACCCAAATGCCATCAAAGCCATTATGTGTACGCGGCAACTTGTACACAAAATCCATAGTGATATTTTCCCATTTCCACTCTGGAACGGGAAGCGGCTGCAACAATCCAAACGGCTTCTTTCTTTCTGCTTTAACCTGCTGGCAAACAGCACAACTGCTCACATACTCAGCTATCTCCCTTTTTATACCCGGCCAATAGTAAAATGGTCGAATAGTATGATACATTTTAGTTGCCCCTGGGTGCATGGCATAAGCCGAGATATGTGCTTCATCGAGAATTTCCTTCTTCAAATCTGCATTACTAGGCACGAACATTCTACCTTCTAACATCAACATGCCATCAGAATCACGAACTCTGAGATCTCGCCTCCTTCCTTGATCTCGAGCTCGAATTAGTTCTTGAGTCTGTTCATCAGCTACCTGAGCTTCAAGCACTCGATCAACCAAGATTGGTCTAACTTGAAAATTAGCAAGTAATGCCACTTCTCGATCTTCTGCTTCTAACCTTACTCCCGTAGCACGCAAGTCCACCAAAAGAGGAATACGACTAGCGTACAACGCATTAATACGGCCCTGTGACTTCCTGCTAAGTGCATCGGCCACTACGTTCGCACGACCTGGGTGATAATCAATCGTGCAATCGTAATCGCTGAGCAACTCCAACCACCTCCGTTGACGAAGATTAAGTTCCTTCTGGGTGAAGAGATACTGAAGACTCTTGTGATCTGTGAAGATCCTACACTTCTCCCCGTAAAGATAATGTCTCCACAACTTCAACGCAAAGATGATAGCAGCCAACTCCAAATCATGTGTAGGGTAATTCATCTCATGGGGTTTCAACTGCCGCGAAGCATAAGCAATCACCCTACCATGCTGCATCAATACACATCCCAGACCATTCAAGGAAGCATCGCTATAAACCTCGAAATCACCACTATCGTCCGGGAGTGCCAAAACAGGTGCATTAGTAAGACAATGCTTCAACTGCTGGAAACTTTGCTCACACTTATCATTCCACTCAAACTTAACATCTTTCCTTGTTAACCTCGTCAGTGGCAAGGCAATTACCGAAAAATCCTTAACGAATCTCCGATAATATCCCGCCAAACCAATGAAACTTCTTACCTCAGTGACGGTTCGTGGTTGCTCCCAACTCTCCACAGCTGCAACCTTTTGAGGATCAACAAGAATACCTTGAGCAGAAATGATGTGCCCCAAAAACGCGACTTGATCTAACCAGAACTGGCACTTGCTAAACTTAGCATACAATTGGTGTTCCCTCAACCTCTTCAACACCAAAGTAAGATGTCGAACATGCTCCGCTTTGGACTTAGAATACACCAGAATATCGTCAATGAAGACAATAACAAATCTATCCAGGTAAGGTTGGAATACCCGGTTCATTAAATCCATGAATGCTGCTGGTGCATTCGTCAACCCAAACGGCATAACCAGAAACTCGTAATGACCGTAACGAGTCCTGAACGCCGTCTTAGGAACATCATTCCTACTAATCTTCAGCTGATAGTACCCAGACCTCAAGTCTATCTTAGAAAATACACAAGCACCTCTCAGTTGATCAAACAAATCGTCGATACGAGGCAATGGATAACGGTTTTTAATCGTCATCCGATTCAATTGTCTGTAGTCGATACACAGCCTCAAAGTCCCATCTTTCTTCCTCACAAACAACACTGGAGCGCCCCAAGGTGAAGTACTAGGCTGAATAAATCCCTTATCCACTAATTCCTGTAACTGCACTTTCAATTCCCTTAACTCAGCGGGAGCCATACGATAAGGAGTTAATGAAATAGGATTAGTACCTGGAAGCAACTCAACATTGAACTCCACATCTCGATCTGGGGGTAAACCAGGTAAATCCTCAGGAAAAACATCAGGGAAGTGTCTAACCACTCTCACATCCTCAATTCTGCTAGGAACGGCCTCCTCTAGCACCACATGAGCTAGATACCCTTGACAACCTTTAGTCAACAATTTCTTCGCTCGCAAAGCCGAAATAACACCATGTCTTACCCCACTCTGCTCACCCACAAAAGTAACCTCAGGTAATCCAGGACGGTGAAATGTAACTACTTTCCCGTAACAATCAATGTTGGCACGATAGAAGTGCAACCAATTCGTGCCCAAAATCACATCAAAATCGACAATATCTAACGGGATAAGATCAGCTGGCATAACAACACCCTCTACTATCACTGGACATCCTGGGTACATACAATCTACAACACATCTCTCTCCTCTAGGCATAGCGAATTCTAAATCGTACCCTAGAGGTGTGGGGCGAGGTTGCGTCAATTGAGCAAATGTATGAGAAATAACGGAATGTGTAGCTCCACAATCAATTAAGACTCTAGCAAAATAACCAAGAATATTTAACGTACCCATAATCAAGTCCGGGTTGTTCTGAGCATCCTGCAGGGAAACATTGTGAATACGCCCATGCCCCTGCTGTCGTCCGCCACGACCTCTGCTCGCTTGAACACCGCGACCTTGAGCTCCACGCCCCTGACTGGGCTGACCCATCTGTCTCGAAGACCCTGCACTACTAGTAGCATTCTCACTCTGCTGATACTGTCCTCCTTGGTACCACTGAGAACCACCCATCGGAGCTGGAGGATACGGTAAGTAGTTGCTGGGATACGGGGGATAACCACCTTGTGAATACGGTTCCTGGGGGTACTGATACGGTCCCGGGGCATAGGGAACAGCATCACCCTGATAGTGATAGGCACCACCTCTACCTGCTTGACCATAATTACTCGGACCTTGGATTTGCCGAATCGGTGCAGGTGGCGGCATAAAGGTCTGCTGCGGCTTCTGCTGCTGACCCTGGGGACAATTCACAGCTATATGTCCCATCTGCCCACATGTGAAACAAGCACCGTTGCCACGCCTACACTCGCCGAAATGTCGGTTATTACATCTACGGCAAAATGGGAGTCGGTTTCGACCACCATCACCTTGTCTCTGGCCTCGAGCACCTCCATAAAACCTGCCTCCACGTCCTTGTCCAGAGGCACTGAAACCACCACTAGACGAACTTGAACTCGCACCACCCCTTTTGAAGTTTTGAGTTTGGCGAGGCCCAAGCGACACTTGACTTTTTCCTTTGTCGTCTTTCTTCTGATTGCCGTTTTTCTCTTCGTCACTATCACTTGACATATTCTCAGAGTCCTCTACCCTCAACAATATCTCATAGAACTCCTGGTAGGACTCACAGTGAGTAGTAGTCACCATAGAACGCCATTTCTTCTTAGTGCCCAAGCGAAAACGACGAAGCATCTCCGCCGGATTACCAGCGACATCAGGATAGTAACGAGACAAATCAATGAACTTACGATAATACTCGTTAGCTGTCATCTTTCGCTGTTTCAACTCAGTGAATTCTTGTTTCTTACGGTCGATATACTCAGGGGGTACAAATCTCCTTTGAAACACATCCTTGAAAACATTCCAATCGGTCCTCTGAGCTGGAGTCAACATACGAAGTTCTTGCTCCCACCAAGCTGCAGATTCCATCTCCAGAAACCATGACGTTGTCTCGACCCACCTTTCCATAGGAAGGTTCCCCTGGTTATGCAACACACGGAAAGTCTTCTCTATGTGTTCTAACCAACGTTCTGCGCCTTCGTGACCCTCGTTACCTTTAAACTTATCCAACTTCAAATTATACATAGTCTCCAGAGGAGTCCTCTGGGGAGGGCGCATCACTGTTTGAAGGGCTGTCGCAATCACTTCCCCCAACTGAGTAAGATCGGGAAAACTAGGCTCATCTGAGCGACGTGGTTCCCGACGAGGCGGCATGATTCTGACAGAAGACACCAACTATTAGAATACTCACAAAGACACAGGACTGCCAAACCTAGGCTCTGATACCAAGCTGACACACCCCGACCGAGATCAGGGCATGCTGGCCGTCACACGAAGGTGACGTAACCATGTGCGCGTGCGGAAGCTATTAAGATAGTAAAATAAAAGTACGAATAATCAAAAACCTAAAAGCATACAAAGTACTAGTGTATGTGAGACACAATTCAGAGCAAGTCTACAACAGTCCAAAAGGAAAAGATACGACATATTTACACCCGAAGGTGACCCTACAATGGTGAGTGTCTGTCAGAAATGCCGGGACGCCCTCTGGGATAAACCACTGAATCTGCTAGACCACTAGAACCTGGAGGGGCGCAAAAACAAAAGCGTGAGTGGGCAAAAACAAAGTTCTTTGAAAACTCTTTAGCAAAATACATTCTAACCCCTCGCCGTAAAACCTGTATACTTCCCAGAAAATGAACATATAAACGTATGTATAGGTATGTCAATCATGCTCCACATATGCCATTCATGCTTGAGAATATGCCACAATAGAATCTCATAATCAACTATAAATACTCAAGCGTAATTCACATCAATAACATATAATCTGGCAGTCGGGAGTCACCTAACGTGACATGTACCGCTGCATCTAGAGCTCCAATCTCAACTCAACATCTGAATCTGCACACGAGTCGGAACCACCTAATGTAGTCTGTCCGACAGGACTGGGTGTAATATATACGCTCTAGTGCTACGATCACGTGAAGACTGTGCGAATAATCGCGGGTCACCTACGAGCCGGAACCACCTAATGTAGTCTGTCTGACAAGGCTTGCACCTAACTTGGATCCAAGGCGAGCGTGTGGTGCTGGTGAACATCACGTGAAGGACTGTGCCCTGGCCCTGGGTGGGAGCACTAACACCGGGGGTGCAGATTATGAGCTCTCTCAACATCTCAAACTATTATTGCATAACAACAAGAATACCACTTACCTGGCACTTACCTGTGCGTCCACAGCACCAAATACACAAATATGAATGTATGCCACTACCAATGCATATGATAATGCGTAAGTGATAATAATATAGTGCATGGCATAACTCAAATAACCTTTTCTATTTAATTTCTGGGAATATAACTGTATATAGGTATATACGGAAAACAAAAGCCCACTCACTGATAATTAGAAGGGTCGTAGCCCCCCTGCCTCGAATGTGTACGCTCGTCCTCGGAAAACGAATCACCTATACGCAACAAAGTTACGAAAACATTAATTTAAAAGCACCTAAGCAACTTCTCATAATAACTTCTCATACATTGCTCAAATTGGACAATTGAATATACCAACGTGATCTACACAACCTCAGGATCACATCCATATTTTTAAAATAATTTTTGGACCACGCACGCGCCCCCACGCGCCTGAACAGTCACGGACCCACGCGCCCCCACGCGCAGCCACGTGCACTGCACACTGACGGTGTCAACAGACGCCGTCAGGAATATTCCGTTAACCTGACGGAATATTCCGTTAACCTTAACTGACGCCGTTAACTGACGCCGTCACTGCCGTTAGGAATATTCCGTTAAACTTAACGGAATATTCTCCTTTCTTCTCCGGCCAGTCGCCGTCGCCGTCGCCGGCGCCGTCGCCGGAAAACCTGCAACTCGCATTTTCTCGCTCGTTTTTGCACCTTTTTCCACGTTTCTTGCACCAAAATGCACCTTAAAGCTAGTAGAACATGACCCAACAAGTTTTAAGGCCTAAACTGACAAGATTATACCTGCCCAAATTTCCAAAACTCGGCCAACTACGAACTTAGCCTTCCCGACGTCCAACTTCACTCAACGAACTACTCCCAAGCTCCTGGGAACTTCACCAACACTTCTACAAGCTCAGAAATTCCAAAAACTAAGTAAATCAAATTTGCATGAATAGTAACTAAAACTGAGCTCGTGAAATGGACGTGAAAACGTCGGACTTCCTACCTGAAAATGGTATGGTTGTGCTCCTCACCACCTCACGAGTTCAATGGTGGTCTTGGATCCCTCGAGGAGTGATGGTTTGGGTATGTTTGTGTGTAGTCCGTGTGTTTGCAGAAGGAAGAAGAAGAAGATGAACTCGGGGAGGAAGAGAGAGAGAGAGAGAGACAGAGAAAGACAGAGTGAGGGAATGAGGGAGGGAATCCCGGGAGAAAAGAAAATGTATGAGTGTGTGTGGTCCCACCACACCACACAACACACATTAATGGGATAAAACGAATTAGGGGTATAATCGTAAATTCACACGTACGTTAAAATGAAATTTGGGACGGGATGTTACAAGTTATATCCGACAGGAATGGAGGCAAAAATTTAAATACAATGGTTGACTGACTTTAGCTAGCCGTTTTTTTTATTTTTTATTTTTCTTTTACAAAATTTGTTTTAAAAACTGTAAAAAAAGTTTTTCCCCTATAACTTCTAAACCATTAAACATTACATGACATTAAGTAACATGAAACAACATTAAACAATATTAAACAACATTAAATAACATTATACAACATAGAAAAAACATTTAACAACATGAAACTTAAACAACATTTTTAAAAACATTTAGCAACATAAAACTTAAATGCCTACTCCATGCTATTTTGGGCTCAAAGATGTGCAACAACTAACAAGATCCTGTTGTAGGTACTTGTTTGTGGCACGGGAACGTATCATTCTATAGCCTTATGTACTCATTTATAGAGATATTACCAGTTCTTGGATTGAAAGGTAAATTAGTCCCATCATATATTTTTGCACGAGCCCTTCTTGACCTATTTGGATCGTCTTGAATTCAAAGTTGTGTGAATTATAGCTCAATATCCACCCTATTTATAGCCCAAAAAAATTCAAATACAACGGCTAGCTAACATCACTTAGCCATTGGATTTGAATTTAAGTTGTAGTTTTTAAATAATAAATTATGTTTGGCCCTCAGTTGGAGACGGTTTTTTGTAACATGGCTAAAATGAGCCTTATAGCCCTTTGGCATTCGGTTGGAGATGGAGGCAAATATGACCCTGTACTATTCATTAAAATATTAATTTCTTGAAGGGCCAGATGGCTAAAACGAGCCATTTGGCCAGCCTTTGGTTGGAGATGGCCTACCAAGAGGGATTCCCATTTTTCAAAAAAAAAAAGGGACACCCTATTGATCAGCTGGATTGGCTTTAATGAAATTGTGTGGTTGAGATTAAATCACAGGCCACAGAATTTCATTAAAGCCAAATCTAACGATCAAGAGGTGTCCCCATTTTTTTTAAAAAAATAGGATCTCTCTTGTTAAAGGATCTGTATATATGTGTGTGTGTGTGTGTGTGTGTGTGTGTGTTCTAATAATGAAGCCCCAAGGATCTAAAAATGTTAGGCGCTAGTCGGACGGCGAACTAGACGAATTTAAGTAAATCTATTATATTTCATGTAAATAAATGTCTGTTTATAATTAAAATATATATAATTTCATCATAAACTATAAAATAGAATGACATATATATTATGAAATATTGGAACATAATGAAAATATGGAGAACATGCATATAATGTGTGTTCGTTTAAGTATTCAACAAGTTTCTTACACTTTATTGAACAAAATAAAATGCAAAATGAAAGTTATATGTTTTTCTGTGTAAGTGAGTCGCAACCTAGGCAGGTGTCTAGGCGGGCTTGGACGAGTTAGGAGGGTGCCTAGACGGTATAGACAGGCGCCTCAGCAAGTCTAGACGCCCTTTCTTAATTTTCAAACGAATAGGCATTAATCGAGCGGTTGCTAGCCGTCTAACGTCGAAACAGAGATTTTTAAAACAGTGGAAGCCCAAGGAAAAAAGCATTAACTACGAGTAAGTAGTCGTTCTCCTTACTTACATGTTGTAAACGGCAGTTTGAAAAGTGTGTAAGAACAACTTAATTTTTCTTGAGTTGGTTGAAATCGTACAAGAAAGATAAGTACGCATTGCGGCCTCATAAAAATCTTAATGAAATCAAAGGAACAATAATACACGTATTATGAAACTAAATATCTTCTTCAACAAATCCATAAGAAATTATGGTGGATCATAAAACCAAGTGCATTGACGATCAGACAACTTAATTTTTCTTGAGTTGGTTGAAATCATATAAGAAGATAAGTATGTTAGAGTAAATGTAGAAATATAGAAAATAAGCTGAAATATGACTTTGAGATATAACTTGAATCGTTTTCTTAAAGTATTATTTGCCCCTACTAGAATTAGTTTGCTAAAGGGTTATTGGCAAATCACTTCTAAGATACAACAAAGTATGAAATATTCGATTAGCAAAAACGAATTACATTTCCTTAGAAATAACTAGAAAGAAATTGTATTAATGTAATGGAGAGAGAAGAGAGAGCAAAGAAGTTCTGTATAAGCAAATTTCTAAGGGTGCTTTTGTTGCACCGGACTATCTCGGACTGGACTAGCCTTAGGGACTAAACTGGACTAGCTTAAAATAGACCAAATTAGTGAAGCATTTAATGTAGTGTCGGATTAAAAAACTGGATAATTAACACTAAATAATATTATATTATTTAATACATATTTAATAATATTTTATATCAATTTTTTTTTTTTTTTCCTCAAAACCTGTACTCTCTGGAATCTTCTCTCCCTCGTTGGCTCCGTCCAATCCCCTCACCTCCTTGTCTCCCTCATCTCCC